CCATACGGAGCTTGGTCATGTACCAGGTATCATCGAAAGACTGGTTGCTAAGCAACAATATTGTCTTGTGGCCGTTTTCGATGACGTCGTAGATGGCGTTCAAGTAGAACAATCCTGGGTGAAGATCGGCATCACCAAATATGACGCGCTCCAGATGAGGCATCCTCTGCTCCAGAAAAGGTTTCATGAAGTCATTTACCCACCATTCCTCGTCGTCATGGAACATGAGGTTGAGTTGGTATTCATAGTCCTCCGGAGTTCGATCTTCAGTGATCTCATGGTAACCAACGATGGCCAACTTAAGGAGATACAACTTATAGTTTATCCACCATCGGTTCAGATACACGAGTATACCGAGGGTTATAACAAAGATTGGCGCAAAACATGCGGAAACGATTATCATGGCATTGATTCCACAATATTCATTCGGATGGAACGACCAAATTATTTGATTGACCAACGGTTTTAAGGAACTGCTAGAGCAACGGGTTTCATTTTCTGGAGCAAGATTTATTTTTCCTTCAACCTCGTTCAACCATTGTCTGAACCAGGCGAGTTGGCAATCGCATGTTAAGATATTGTTTGCGATATTGAATCTAATCAAACTTGAGGGCATTACAGTGTTGGTGGCTATGGTCAAAATGTGATTGTTTTGTAAGTACAACCGTTCAAGTTCGTTTGTGCCCATAAACAGCCCTTGCTCGATGAATGCAATTGAATTGTACTGCAACTGCAACACTCGTAAATGATGCAAGCCTTGAAAAGCGTCTTTGGGAATGCTAGTTAAGTCATTGTTAGTCAGGCTAAGCAGCTGCAAGGTCGTTAGGTTTGCAAATGTTCCTGAGGCAACATGCTGTATACGACAACTTGTTAAGTCGAGCTCCACAAGACTTCCAAGCGGGGTGAATATGCCAGGAAAATCGTGCAGGTTATTTAAATCATTTTTCTGCAGTTCCAGGATCTGCAAGGAGACCAAGCCTGAGAACAACGATGTACCTGTATGTTTACCAACTAAATCCTCAGCTTTGAGATATGATTCCGTCATATTGAGAACCCTCAGCCCAGATGTGTTCGTAAACTGGTCAATTGATGAAATCTTCAACAGGCTATATGAGATATCCAGATGAAGTAGATTTTGCATATTTCTAAACGAACCTGTCATGCTAAATTTCTCCATATCCGCCATGACAAGGAACTCTAAGGAACCGACTGAAGTGAGGGCGTCCTCTGACATCCGTAAACGATCTCCATTGCCAGAAACATCAAGTGTTTTCAAATTTGCCAAGCCAGTGAAGGAGTTACTATTCAGGAAACCTATATTGTTTTTGCTTAGAACAAGAGTCTGAAGATTAGTTGCCTTCCATGGTCCGACCTTGATGCGACCGATGGTACTTTGATCTATCACCAAGCTACGAAGAAACAAGGATCCGTCAAACCATTGGGGATCCAATGTCGCAAGTTTATTACGTGACAAATTAATTTTCCGGAGATTTGAGGCGCAAGCGAACGCAGCGCGGGGAAGCGACGTTAATCTATTCTGAAACAGACTGAGGTCTACCAGTGAATGTAAACCACAAAATGATTCCTTATTGATGCTATATATACGATTCCCTTGAAGGTTCAGAACTTGCAGTTTTGCAAAACCACGAAGAGCATACCCTGGAATGTTCTTCAAGACGTTATAATCTAAATAAAGTTCTTTAATCAGTGGCAAATTTTCTTTTTGCATCGACGATATGTTGACTGGATGAATGTTCTTTATGCCTGAAAAAGTAAGCAGAAGTCTGTTGATTTCAACATGGCCCATGAAATCCCTGACGTTGAAAGTACTTAAGTTGATATGGTTCATGTTAAGAATACCGACTTTGGGCAAATATCCAAACGCCTTAGGTTGAATAAACGTCACATTATTATCTTTTACATTGAACTTATGAACAGAACAATTTCTCCACGGTAAAAAATCATCCTCATTTATAGTTGTAAGTTTGTTGAAGGATAGATCCACTGCCGACATATTCCGCCATCCATAACACTTTTCACACTTCTGAGTAGAGATGTTACTGATCTTGTTGTTCGAAAGATTTATTATGAAAAGAAGAGTATTCTTCTGAAGATAATATATGGGTAGAAAAGTAATCAGGTTATAATCTAGTCTCACGACCTGCAATTGTGGTAAAGTTTCGAATGTTCCACCGTCAATGAAAGCAATGACGTTATGACCAGCATTCAATGTGTAAAGTTGCCTGTAATTCATGAAAGACCTGTTTACAAGCTCTGTTAATTGGTTATGATCGATGGATAAGAGCAGCAGGTCACTCGGAAGGTCTTGGGGCACTGAGGTTAGATTGAGATGAGCGCACTGAGCGTTGCGACGATACTGGACTGGACATGTATAGTTTGACTGTGGTGGACTGAGTGGCATGTCCACTCTTACCTTCTGCACGATACCTCCCAAAAATATTGCTATCAAGATCAAAAGTGTTCGCGTCAAGGAATCCATCGTGAGAGGAGCCGTTATGATAGTTCCCCACAAGTACACTGAGCTGTTCGTAAAATCAAATTAGCGATGACACTGATTTCAATGCTTGGTTTCTGAAATAGAAGGTACTTCAGCTGGCAACATCCTCGCAGGCACGGAAATCATATCGGAAATAATGATTCAGCCAGTAAAATACTGTATATATGTACATCAAAATCAATCAAATACACCACAAGTTCAATTCCAGCTTTCGTATTCATGAAGCAAGTAAGGTTTTTATAACATTGCTGGCTTAAAGGCAGTATATATGGTTTCAGGGGAAATGGGCGTCAGATTATTGTTACAAATAAACAATGCATTTTCTCAAGAACCCTCTGTAGGCTTCTTATGACTTTATTGCAAATTCTTTTTTAGACCAGGATATAGCTTGTTTCACACACTTGAATTTAATTGATATAAGCAAGTCATTAGTTGGTTTACAATCGAAAAAAGAGTGATATGGGAATAATTATTACCATTAATCAAGTGAAGTCCTTGAATTTTCTTATTATTATCTTACCTCTCTCTCTCTCCCTTCCCTCCCCATCTTGCACCTCCGTCCACCCCCTCTCTCTCTCTCTTTATATATCTCTTTCTCTCTCTCTCTCTCTCTCTCTCTCTCTTGCATTCATTATTATTTCTCTCTTTCTTGTTCTATTTATCCCTTCAATTCTTTTCTACTTTATATCTTCTTCTTTATATTTTGTGGTCAAGTTGGTTGAATAATCGACTGAAATTGGACAAATGGTGCGAGTTGTGGAGATTATGAAAAATTTAATCTACCAGATTCTAGACTAGGTGTGCGCATGTATGTGCCTGTGTGCGTGTTATGATGTGTGCGTTCTGACATATTTAGATACTGATCACCTCATGATGAAGTCAGAATCTTCAATCTTCAATCTTTATTTCTGTACGTTTTCTGTCTTCAGATTTGTTATTTTAAGAAAAGAGATCCAAGCACAATCAATTTGCATTCTGACATATTTAGGTATTGATTACCTCTTGATTTTGTCATAATCTTCATTCTTTGTTCTTTATTGCTTTCTAATCGATTTTGTTTGCAGCAATTTCAGGCCAACAATTTGAGAAAATTGTACAGGACAGCAAAATGGATAATCTTCAAAAAGCTGCCTTCACGGTTATTTGTGAGTTCTAAATTTACTCGTCGTCTTCTTCTGCTTCTTTTTTTTCTTCTTCTTCTTCTTCTTCTTCTTCTTCTTCTTCTTCTTCTGCTTCTTCTTTTTTAATTTTTCTTCTTCTTCTTCTTCTTCTTCTTTTTCTTCTTCTTTTTCTTTCTTCTTCTTCTTCTTCTTCTTCTTCTTCTTCTTCTTCTTCTTCTTCTTCTTCTTCTCCTTATTCTTCGTGTCTTTCCTTTTTCCTTTCTCTCTCTTTGTATCTTCTTTCTTTCTTTTTTTTTATTTTTTTATTCCGTTATCCCTTTATGAAAATCGCAAAATTCAATCGTTTATTTAAAGTTGTGATGTTAATTAATCCTAATCTCATGAAAATTGGTATCAAAATGTAAATAATAATAATTTCTTGCATATTATGACCTCAAACTCATGGTGGTTTAAGATTTTCTATATTACTAAAGTATCCAGCCAAGTTATTCCATAAAACAGTGTCCGCATATGAATAATTAATATGACAATACCCTATAAGATTTTGTCACAGTTTAAGGGACACAAAGTAAAGACATTTTACTGTAATGTACCGTGTCCGTGACTGAGCTGATCTCATCCTATATGATCATATTTACAGTCAAGAGCATGTGTCAACCTCTTGCGTTCTACGTTGACTCGCTGTACTGGGCCATGAAGGGACTAGGTACCGACGATGACAAACTCATTCGCATCGTCGTAGGCAGATCAGAGGTAAGTTGGTCATACAGGAGGGATGAATATTTAAATCAGAAAATAATTAATATTTTGTCCTTCCCCTTTCTTTATCTCTCTCTCTCTCTCTCTCAATATATATCTCTCTCTCTATCTCTCTCTCTCTCCCCCTCTCCCTCCCTATGTCTCTGTATCTTTCTCTCCTTCTCTCTCTCTCTCTCTCTTGCATTTCTTCCCCCTCTCTTTCTTGTTCTATTTTTAAGTCAACCCCCTCTCTCTATCTCTCTCTCTCTCCCCCTCTCCCTCCCTATGTCTCTGTATCTTTCTCTCCTTCTCTCTCTCTCTCTCTCTCTCTCTCTTGCATTTCTTCCCCCCTCTCTTTCTTGTTCTATTTTTAAGTCAATCCCCTCTCTCTATCTCTCTCTCTCTCCCCCTCTCCCTCCCTATGTCTCTGTGTCTTTCTCTCCTTCTCTCTCTCTCTCTCTCTCTCTTGCATTTCTTTCCCCCTCTCTTTCTTGTTCTATTTTTAAGTCAATCCCCTCTCTCTCTATCCCTCTCTCTCTCCCCCTCTCCCTCCCTATGTCTCTGTATCTTTCGCTCCTTCTCTCTCTCTCTCTCTCTCTCTCTCTTGCATTTCTTCCCCCCTCTCTTTCTTGTTCTATTTTTAAGTCAATCCCCTCTCTCTCTATCTCTCTCTCTCTCCCCCTCTCCCTCCCTATGTCTCTGTGTCTTTCTCTCCTTCTCTCTCTCTCTCTCTCTCTTGCATTTCTTCCCCCCTCTCTTTCTTGTTCTATTTTTAAGTCAATCCCCTCTCTCTCTATCTCTCTCTCTCTCCCCCTCTCCCTCCCTATGTCTCTGTGTCTCTCTCTCCTTCTCTCTCTCTCTCTCTCTCTCTTGCATTTCTTCCCCCTCTCTTTCTTGTTCTATTTTTAAGTCAATCCCCTCTCTCTCTATCTCTCTCTCTCTCCCCCTCTCCCTCCCTATGTCTCTGTATCTTTCTCTCCTTCTCTCTCTCTCTCTCTTGCATTTCTTTCCCCGTCTCTTTCTTGTTCTATTTGTTAAGTCAATCCTTTGTTCCTTTGTAATTTCTTCGTCATGTTTCGTGGTCAAGTTGTTTGAATATTCGACTGCAAGAAATGTGGAAGTAGTAGTAGGTTAGACCCCGTAAAGGGCTTGCAATTACACAATCACAAAATCTCATTTACCTTCATTGCTTCTCTCCATCAGGATACTCGTGATTCCCTAGCAAATATTTATTGTACGATCGGCATATTCTTTATTTATCTATTTATTTATTTATTTTTGTTTGTATTTATTTATTCATTCTATTATTATTATTATTTTATTTTTATTCATTTATTCAGTTAGTTGTTATTTTTTTTTTTTAGTCTTTCTCTCCTTCTCTCTCTCTCTCTCTCTCTCTTGCATTTCTTTCCCCCTCTCTTTCTTGTTCTATTTTTAAGTCAATCCCCTCTCTCTCTATCCCTCTCTCTCTCCCCCTCTCCCTCCCTATGTCTCTGTATCTTTCTCTCCTTCTCTCTCTCTCTCTCTTGCATTTCTTCCCCTCTCTTTCTTGTTCTATTTTTAAGTCAATCCCCTCTCTCTATCTCTCTCTCTCTCCCCCTCTCCCTCCCTATGTCTCTGTATCTTTCTCTCCTTCTCTCTCTCTCTCTCTCTCTCTCTTGCATTTCTTCCCCCTCTCTTTCTTGTTCTATTTTTAAGTCAATCCCCTCTCTCTATCTCTCTCTCTCTCCCCCTCTCCCTCCCTATGTCTCTGTGTCTTTCTCTCCTTCTCTCTCTCTCTCTCTCTCTCTCTTGCATTTCTTTCCCCCTCTCTTTCTTGTTCTATTTTAAGTCAATCCCCTCTCTATCTATCCCTCTCTCTCTCCCCCTCTCCCTCCCTATGTCTCTGTATCTTTCTCTCCTTCTCTCTCTCTCTCTCTCTCTTGCATTTCTTCCCCCCTCTCTTTCTTGTTCTATTTTTAAGTCAATCCCCTCTCTCTCTATCTCTCTCTCTCTCCCCCTCTCCCTCCCTATGTCTCTGTGTCTTTCTCTCCTTCTCTCTCTCTCTCTCTCTCTTGCATTTCTTCCCCCCTCTCTTTCTTGTTCTATTTTTAAGTCAATCCCCTCTCTCTCTATCTCTCTCTCTCTCCCCCTCTCCCTCCCTATGTCTCTGTGTCTTTCTCTCCTTCTCTCTCTCACTCTCTCTCTCTTGCATTTCTTCCCCCTCTCTTTCTTGTTCTATTTTAAGTCAATCCCCTCTCTCTCTATCTCTCTCTCTCTCCCCCTCTCCCTCCCTATGTCTCTGTATCTTTCTCTCCTTCTCTCTCTCTCTCTCTTGCATTTCTTTCCCCGTCTCTTTCTTGTTCTATTTGTTAAGTCAATCCTTTGTTCCTTTGTAATTTCTTCGTCATGTTTCGTGGTCAAGTTGTTTGAATATTCGACTGCAAGAAATGTGGAAGTAGTAGTAGGTTAGACCCCGTAAAGGGCTTGCAATTACACAATCACAAAATCTCATTTACCTTCATTGCTTCTCTCCATCAGGATACTCGTGATTCCCTAGCAAATATTTATTGTACGATCGGCATATTCTTTATTTATCTATTTATTTATTTATTTTTGTTTGTATTTATTTATTCATTCTATTATTATTATTATTTTATTTTTATTCATTTATTCAGTTAGTTGTTATTTTTGTGTTTTGTTTTTGTTGTTGTTATTTTTTTATTTTTTGGGGGAGGGGGGAGGGGATGGGTGGTCTGAAGAGGCATAATAAAAAGCACAAATGGCGATAAAAATATACGACTATTACGCCATCTACGAGGGAGCCTCGCGACGGAGCGAAAGGGTTTCATTTTTAAGTTTCACAATCTCGCTGACGGATTAAATTAAATATATTTCTTCAGTAGATTGGTCTAAATAAATTTATTAGGGCAAGTGGGACATCGGACAATCGTTTCCTTCCGGCCCTTGGCTACGCCACAATTAAAAAAATTGTTTTACCACCTTTTTCAATCAGAGCAAATATTTCACCTTATTTCAACCCACTGCCTACTGGAACCGAGTGGTCCATTTATTAAGCCTATAGTGGTGAGAGAATTCGGTGATAATCGGGTCGATAAAAAGCTTAATCAGTGACCACCTCGC